CTTAGTTTTGAAAAACACAGTTGCCACACAGCTTCTTTAGCTCTAAGTTCCAGCACATTACAGTGAGGAATTCTTCATCTTATCTGTGATCTCATGCACTCTTTGTCTACAAAATCCTGAGCTAGGAAAATGCCGTTTTCCTTCATTTTGGCCAGTGTAGGAGCCACTTCCCAAAATAGCTTTGACCTTGAATGGGTGCTCTATTGAGGGAGCCACCTGCATGCATCAGGACAAAGTTTCCCTGCAGGGTTCGGGGCCTGGTATAGTCCTAAGAGGCCTCAGTTGCAAGAATGTGAGAATGTGGTTGGGTCACAACAAAACCCATTTGGATAATTCTGAAATTCGACAATGGTCTAAGTATCTGAAGACAATGGGGAGAAGCCCCACCAAGAAGGGCCTGTCTCTATGCCCCCTCCCCCATCCCGAGTGACCTCAGTGACCTCTTCTGTGCTTGCAGAACTACCTTGAGAGCTACCTTTCCATCGCCTCCACCGTGCCCTCCGTGCTGTGCCTCATGGCGAACTTCCTGCTTGTCAACAGGTAGGCCACTTTCCTTCCTCTCTCGGACCTGACTTCACCTCCAGCCTTCTCCACTCCCCTTTTGTCTGCTGCTGCTGCTTTTCTACCCGCTTAAACAGTGGCTACCAAAGTAGGAGATAGGCAGCTCAGACTCCTCCATGAAGATTGAGAAGTCAGATCAGTTACCTGGGACCCTGCCAATAGAATGGACTTTCCCTTTCCAGCCACATGCTGTGACAGCATGTCAGCAGCCAGCAGAAGACATGCAGGGAAATGGGTCTTCTTTCCTATTTTTTTTCAGGGGAACCTGTCTATCAACAGCTGCCTGGGCTGTTGTGGGGATATCACGCGAGTGGTTGGATAGGACCGGGAAGCAAGGCTTGTGGAAGCTGGTCTTCCAAGCGTTGTTGAGATCAGTCAGAAGGGAAGAGCCTGGCATCCCATAAGTCCGGCTCTGGCTTTGTGGAAATGGATCACAGCACTAAGCTGTAACACCAGCTTGTGTGTCAACCTCTCACAAAGGGGTCAGTAGAGAACTTCTACCGCTGTATTAGTGAAGGGCTGGGAGAGAGCTTCCATCTGGATGTACCATGGAAGAAGGAATGATTTAGGAGACATCCAGGCAAACTAGCATGACCCTTAGATCCCCTGGACGGCTGTTGCCATCCTTTCTCAATTTACGCTTAGAAGGGCAGCAGCCCTAGCTACTTTGCTTGCATTTCCTCTAAGTTACCACTAGGTCCTAACAGTGGCTATGTTATTATTCGGAAACCTGGGCTTCTCTTGGGCGCAGCCTACTGAAACCTTAGATCTCTGATGGCAAATCTGTTTTACCTAACTCTGTTCAATTTGCAGTGACTGCCTGGATTTCTAGTTGACCAAGGTTCTAGGGCGGGTCTGGCCTTGGGGAGTGTGCTGTGATCAATTAGTGATGTCTACTCTGAGTACAGGATAGAGGGCAGCATCTGTGCCAAACCTGCATAGACCAGTCTTTCCAAACACATTATGCTATAGGACTATTCCAATTATCTGTTAGTGCAAAAAAAATGACCCCAACGCATAGTGGCTTAAAACCATAACAATAATTAGTATCTTTCATGATTCTGGAAGTCAGCAGGCTCAGGTGGCAGATCTGGCTCGGTGTCTCTCATGTAGTTGCGGACAGCTAGGGCCTGAACTGCTGGGCCTTCTTGAGCACACCTCTCTCTCTTGCTCTCTCCCTTCTCTCTCCATGGTCTCTCTTGTGTTGGCCTCAGGTGATAAGACTTTTCATATTATGGCTGAAGAGAAAGTTTTCCAAGAGACAAGGCAGAAGCTATGTGGTTTTCGAAACCTAGTCTCTGCAGTCACATAGTGTCACTTCTGCTGTATTCAACTGGTCAGGGCAGTCACAGAGCCCACTTGGTTTCAAAGGGACAGAGACCCCCACCTCTCAATGGAGGGAATGTCAAAGAATTTGCACCCATCTTTAAACCAAAGCAAGAAAGAGAATGGTGCTTAGATGGCCCTTAACGTGCCTCTTCATGTCTTTGGCTGGTCCAGGAGTCTATCAGTGTCCTAGCAGGTGGGGTGCAGCCTCCAGAGACCCCATCCTGGAGGAGGTGGAGCCAGGTGTTCCCCCAGCACCGTCAGCCCCTGGAGGGCAGAGCTGGGTTCCCTGGCAGTAATTCAAAAAAGAAGTCGTTAGGAAAGGAAGGGGATGGAAGAGAGGAGGACAAGGAAGATATAGAGCCACGTGGGAGTCCCTCAGCCTCTCACTGCCCTTTCTCTAGGCCTCTTATTATTCTCTCTGTCCACTCACCCAGCCATTCCTGGGGAGGGGGTCTGTCCAGCTGGGCTAGCCCAGGCTCACATAAATGAAATCTCTTGCCTCCTTCTAGGTCTGGAGTCACTATGTGAACTATAACAAGGAGGTGACGCTTAGTGATCCTTAGGATGCACAGCAACCCAGGAGGGAGGCTGTGACATTACCCATTTTCCAAGTGGAAGTCAGGAGATGTGCCTAAGACCACAGGGCCAGTAAGGGGTGGCCTGAGCTGGTGTCTTACCTGGCACTGCCTCCTCTGTAGTAGTGAGGTTCAGCGGGCTGGGAGTTGGCCTGGGACTAGGGTCAGCAGTGGCAGGGAGGATCCACCCTCAGGGCCCTGGAAGAATAATCTTTAGAAAGAGTAGTTAGCACTTCTGAGTACTCATATTCCCCAGGGGCATTCTCTTCAGTTATCCTTGCAACAGCCTGGAGCAGGAAACTTTACTTTGTTTTACTTGTGGGAACTCAGGCTCACAGAGGTCACATGGCCCATGAGAGGGTGGAGCCAGGATTGGAACTGGGACCCTTCTCCCCAACATCTGCTTGGAACCTGTGGACACCCTGCCTCTTAGTTCCCCAACTTTGCTGGCTCCTCCCTGCAGCCAGAAACACACCGCAGACCCTTCACTGAACCCATCCCTGTCTCTGCCCCTGCATCTCTGCCCTGTCTCTGCCCAGGCTTCAGGTTGCTGGTTAGGAAAGCCCCACCCCAGCTGCAGGGGGGGCCATGGGCCACCCAGGCAACCATGCTCCCCACCCCTTTTCTGTGCAGATTGGGCAGGGAGCTGACTCTGAGGGCTGAGCATTACTGGGCATCCTCCAGAGGAGCCCAGCCCACCCAGGGGCCTACATGTGGGAAGTGCTCCGGAAAAGGGTAAGGGCAATGTGGGAAGTGCTCCCAGGCCTCTGCGGGGAAGATGGTTTGGGGCTAAGCTAATTTTTTCTTATTTAATGTGCGAGATTGAAATGTCTCCTTTTCTCGCCTCCTGGAGAACCTTGGCTTTCTCTGACTGGCTCATCCATAATCGCAGAGTGTTTTATTATGTTAAATCCGCAGCATCATAAATACTTATGAGGAGGATTTGCATTTGGGAGACTTATGAAGAAATCAGTCCCCTGGGGTCCTGAGCTTTCACAAGCAGAAAGGGTCGGGGAAGCTGGCAGCCTGGGTACAGCTGACAGCCCTCAGAGAACTTGCCCCAGGGTCCAGGGGCCAGAGCAGTCATCTTGGCCTTCCCCTGTCCCAGAGCAGAATCAGGACACCAGGGCGACACTTATCTGAACGTTCCCTAAAATGCTAACAGTGTCACCACCCCCTGGGCCGCCTTCCCTGCCCGAGGGTAGGAGAAGCAGAGTGAAGCCAGTGTGCCCCCATTAGTGCACGTGGGGCAGGCTTGCAGGGGCACATTTCACAAAGCTTGACGAACATTGAAAATAGCCCCTGGTGAGATTCCCTAGGGCCTGGAGCCCATAGATGAGGCTCAGCAGAGAATGGGTTATGCAGCCTATAATTAGCAGGCTAGGAAGAGACCTGTGCAGGTGAGGGGCTTTTTATGGGGAGCAGAGGCAGAGTTGGGAACTGCATGGCTTTCGTAATGCATATGGCATTTACTTTCTCAACCCCCCTTGAGAGACAACCTCCCTTGTCTCCTGCCCTGGGGGCTGGAAGAAGTCCTCCAGCTCTCTATGAAGCAACCTTCCTGTTCAAGCAGCTAGTTAGTTACCTTGTGGGGACAGACATAGGAGGGCTTCTGTGAGGCTAGCAGCATTCCTGGGGTGGTCTTTTTCTGCAGCATTTGTGAGGAAGTGGTTGTAGGCAGAGGCCGTTCCCAGGCGGGCTGGAAATGCTGCAGTTGCTCGCAGCTGTCTCCCTGCCATGCCGAGGAGGTCAAAGCAGAGTGACTAGGAGCTTCAGGCCCAGTGTTAAAAGCTGCCCCTGCACTGCTGATATCCTTGCTTGTTAATTCGCGCATCCAGCAGATAGTTACCAGGCGCCTACTAAGCCCCATGCCAGCCCTGGGGATGAGAACTAGACAGGCCCTTTCTTCGAGGTGCTCCGCATACCTTCTTGTCTGTCCGTGCCTTCTTCTTGCCCCTCCCCACCCCCAAACTGTTAAAGCTTTTGGGCATTTGTCCCCAGCCTCTCTCTCCACTTGAATTTCTTCAGATT